ATATCACAAAATTCGTTCGTTCCTCGCCTCGCCTCGCCTCGCCCCGCCTCGCCTCGCCTCGCCTCGACTCCTTGGCCCATGTCCTGCGTGGCAACGTGTCCTGTGTGTCCCCCCCTTGTCCTGGTGTCCCCGTGTCCCCGTGTCTCCCGTTGTCTAATGTGCGCGTCATCAAGTTTTTGGGCAACAGGCCAGAAACAGCTTTTGGCTTAAGCTTGATTTCTTTTGCTCTTCTCCACCTTCCCCTCTGCTCTGTCAGCTGTTGTTGTTGTTGCAGCTCGCATTGAAAGTTTTGTGCGTTTTTATTACTTTGCGGCAAGTTCCAGCGTTTATTATTCTTTTGTGTGCACACGCCGCGCAACGCCAAGTGGCATGCAGCAGGGATATAACTTTGAGCTAACCCAACGGGGTTTTTAAGCGCAGCGAAACGTAAATACTTTGAATTACAGGGTATTAACGTGGCCAGCTTGAGGGCGAGCGACTTAATTTGATTTCTGATTAGAGAACTAATTTCCTTTGGATGAGCCATTTTATGTGCAACTTAAACAAACACATTACTTAGCAGGGAAATTTCCTATAAAAATTAAAAATCAAAAATCTTTGATCATTTATACTACATATTTTAAATTTTGTACCAAAAATGTTTACAAGTTCAAAAGCTGTGTCTTTGGGACCATTTCTGGTCTTAAGACTCAATATTTGTTTCCTGTCAAATAGTGCACTTATTGAGATCTACGCTAGACTTTATGGTAGTATATTAGTATTTCAGTATATTAGTATTTTCAATCTTGATATATCCTCATGTTGTTAGACTGCATTTGAACCGGCGACCTGCCGCTTGTCAGTCCGAAACTGTTCATTCATCTTAACAGTTATCCATGTGTTAGATTGAAGATCTTTTGGTTCCTAAGTACAACTTATTAGTTGGAAGAACTGAGTTTATAGTAAACTATAATTCAAGCCTGGCAAAGATGCACAATATGTGGAATAGTTTCTTTAATGCAAAGAATTATAATTTAAATAATTGTTAAATCTTACCATGCAGTTCTTCTTTTACGTAATTTTATAGCTAATTAACCAATTATTATTTCAAAATATCTTCATTCAATAAAATCTCAGCCAATTAATAATATGAAACTTGCAAGCGCTGCTCAAACTGCGGCACAATAGCTCTCCAACCACTTGGCTTAACACCACGAAATGCAATTAAAAATTGAAATTCAATTATGTGGCACCATTTCACAGCCACACACACGCACACTCACACGCACACACACACACACACACACACTCTCGCACTTGCCGCTAATCATTCCGAGCTGATGAGTTGGGGCATCCGCTGGGATGATGCATGCAAGTGAAGTGCAACAGCTGCACTCAAATGCTTAAAGGGCTGAGTGTACCTAGCTATATGTGTGTGTGTGTGTGGGTGTGTGTGTGTGCCTGTGTGTGTGTTTGTGGGGGCGTGGTCACGTTATCGCACTTGACGCCATTTGCTCAAGTGTTTGCACTTTGGCGGTGCCCAACAATTTGCATGCTGTCGCAACTCGAGCAAACCCAAGCCCCAACCGCGCTCCTGTCCTCCCTTTGGAGAACTCTCAGGCATGCTGCTCTCAAGCATCCTAATCTCAAGCTAAAACCCGACCGAATCTCACGCATGACAACGCCAAATAGGTAAGCAGCAAAAAGTGCAACAATAAAAACAGGGAATGCAGGCAAAAAAGTCGGGCAAAACCGAACCCAAAATGCTCTATAAAGATGGCAAAAAATATAATTGAAAAATAGGCTATTTTTACCAATTTACTATTAAAATATAATAATAAAAAATTCATTTCAGTTTTATGAAAGTCTTTATTAAAAGAAAGAAATTTTAAATAGTATCTTCTATAATGTACTCTATAGATCTGATATACACGGAGTTAATTTGAACATAAAGCATCTTCATGGATAATATAATTTCTTACAATTTGAATAGTTTGAACTTGCAAAGCACGTCATGAAAAACGAATTTACATATTTGAAGAGCATAAAAAGAAACAAATAATAAGTATAAAGAAAACATATAAAGTATAATCTGCTTGAGAATCGAAAAAAAGCTAAACAAGAGTTGATCACATAATTTGTCTGCAGGATAAATATTTGCCAGCCACATGACTGGTGCGCCTGATGTTAACGGCCAAGAAAACTGCAAGCGAACTGCATTTCTTAGTTATTCTAACCCCATTCTGAAAAGGTATAAAAACTGTCAACTGTATATTCCCCAAGCTCTCCTCCTGGAGGGGAGGAGGAAGGGAGGGTGGAGGGGTGCACAACAATGACGTGTGCACAATTTGAAGAGCTGAGCTTTAGAGTTCAACACTTTGGGGGTGGCAAGGGACAACTAGGGAGGGAGGAGGGGGGGCGGATGGCTTTTAAGCTCTGTCGCTTGGCACACTTGAGACCAACTGTGAACGGGATGCACTCCAGCTGCAATTAGCTGTCAATGGGCCAATAAAGCTTGATCTCTTTTGTTTTTTTTTTTTCCGTTTAACCCACAGCCCTACGAGATGTACCAGTGGACGCACACGGAGCAACCGACTACCTCGCTGCCGCTCACGCCCGGCAAGCTGGACAAGGTGGCCGCCTGGCCGTTCTCCAGCACGCCGTCGGCAACTCAGAAGCACTACGAAGGCAGCTCCACGCAAACGGATAGTCAGAAGACGCTGCAGCAGATCCTGCGCAAGCGTCTGCTCAACTGCGCCACGTTGGCCGAGGTGCATGCCGTCGTAAACGAGCTGCTCAGCAGCGTGGATGAGCCGCCGAGGCGTCCATCGAAGCGCTGCATCAATCTCACCGAGCTGCTCAACGCCAGCGAGGCGACCATCTACGAGTACAACAAGCCCATTGAGGGCAAGAGCTATGCGGATGCGGGCAGCCAGACGGACGACCAATGCCTCGGCTCCTGCCAGTGTGGTGCAGCGAATGGTGGGCCGGAGCCACAGCTCGTGCAGAGTCAACAGAATTGCGACGGTGTCGCAATGGAGCCACCAGCTGCTTTAGCTGCACCGGCAATTGCACCTCCGCCTCCTCCACCACCGCCGCCGCCACCGCCGCCGGGCATGACAGCTGCAGCAGCACCGCCGCCGCCGCCGCCGCCACCGCCAGGCGGTGGACCACCACCACCGCCACCACCGGGGCCTGCCAATGCTGGCAATGGGCCGCCGCCGCCGCCGCCACTAAGCACCTCCAAGTCGGGGACAGCTTTGGCGCCGGCGCCACTGCCAGATCCCGCTGAGGGCAATTGGTTCCTGCGCACAAGCAGTAAGTGGGAGCAGGGGATTGAGGTTTAGCCGAACTCTTTGACTTAGCTGTTTTCTTTATTTCTTTCCAGTTCAACGCAAAAGCGCCGTCAATCCGCCGAAGCCCATGCGCCCGCTCTACTGGACGCGCATTGTGACCTGTTGTCCGCCCGTGCCCCGTCCACCTTCGATCGCCAACTCAACGGACAGTGCGGATAACGGCGTCAGCTCGCCGGAGGAGCTGCCCGCGATTGGCAACCCGTCCGCTGTGCCAGTGCCGGCGCCTGTGCCTGCCGCGCCCAGCAAGGAGATGTGGACAGAGATCGATGAGACGCCGCTCGACAATATTGATGAATTTACCGAGCTCTTTTCGCGACAGGCCATTGCGCCGGTCAGCAAGCCCAAGGAGCTCAAGCCGAAGCGTGAGAAGTCCATCAAGGTGCTGGATCCGAAACGTTCCCGCAATGTGGGCATCTTCTCCCGGAGCCTGCACATGCCCGCCAGCGAAATCGAGCATGCCATTTACCATATAGACACCTCGGTCATAAGTCTGGAGACGCTGCAACAGATCAGCTATATGCGCGCAACGGATGAGGAACTACAGCGCATCAGGGAGGCGGATGGCGGCGACATACCGCTCGATCATCCCGAGCAATTCCTGCGCGACATATCGCTCATCTCGATGGCCAGCGAGCGCATCTCCTGCATTGTCTTCCAGGCCGAGTTTGAGGAGTCTGTGACGCTGCTGGTGCGCAAGCTGGAGACGGTGTCGCAGCTGTCGCAGCAGCTCATCGAGAGCGAGGATCTCAAGCTAGTGTTTTCCATAATATTGACGCTGGGCAACTACATGAACGGCGGCAATCGGCAGCGCGGCCAGGCGGATGGCTTCAATCTGGACATACTGGGCAAACTGAAGGACGTCAAGTCCAAGGAGTCGCACACAACGCTGCTGCACTTCATCGTGCGCACCTACATAGCACAGCGACGCAAGGAGATGACGCTGCCCGAGATGACGCTGCCCATACCGGAGCCCTCGGATGTGGAGCGTGCCGCCCAGCTGGACTTTGACGAGGTCCAACAGCAGATTAAGGAGCTGAACAGAAAGCTTACGGGTAAGTTGCAAATGCTTGGAATGCATATCATAGATACACTAATCCTCATGCTTATCCCTGCAGCTTGTAAACAGACAACGGCCCTGGTGCTAAGCGCCTCCAGTGAAAACCGCGAGCCTTTTAAATCCAAAATGGAGGAATTTACCGCTAGTGCAGAGAAATCGGTAGCCAAGCTACATCAGCTGATCGATGAGTGCCGGGATCTGTTTCTGGAGACCATGCGCTTCTATCACTTCTCCCCGAAGGGCTGCACCCTGACGTTGGCTCAGTGCACGCCCGATCAGTTCTTTGGTTATTGGACAAATTTCACAAACGATTTTAAAGATATTTGGAAAAAGGAATTTACAATTATGAAAAACGAAATGTAAGCAACTTATTCAAACAAAATCAAACTCAGCTTTCTAACGGTTTTGTTTTTATTTTTTTCTAGAATAAAAAAACCGAAGCAATTGGCGGTGGAAACTCGCCGCGATAGCTCCACTAAGGATCGAATTTCGTGCAAAGCGCGCGTGCGACGCAGCAAAAACTAGTTTTTAGTCCAAAATTAGCCGTAAAGTTTCATTTAAGCTTAACAATAAAAATCAAAAAAATCCTCGCACCATTCAAAATTACTCAAAAACATTTCACTTTGAAATTGTACAACAAAAAAAAAAATACAAAAATACTAGTGCTAAAATTTACAACAGATTTCGCAACACTACACTTTAACACTATTTGTTTGATTATCTAAATTGGAGCTATCGGGCGACCACCACACAATTAATCGGCTGACCATTTTGAGTAAACAAATAATTGGCCGCAAAACTGGCGCCTCGTACGACAACAATCTCAGCTATAACGACAGCATGTCGCATCCAAATACAACGCGTCGCAAGCATGTGCTTAAGGAGATGATGGAGGATGACTATTCGCTGCCCACGGAGCGGCAGCAGATCGTGTGTGTGGTCAGCAGTCGCGGCAACAATCTGCACGAGGTCGTGCCAGCGGAACTGGCGTCTGATAACTTTCTGGGTGAGCACGATGTGAAGCCGTCTCTGTTGATATTGTTGATAACCAACAGGTAAGAACTTATCTTGTAGTATCCATGCCCAACAAGTTTCGCAAGAATGTGTGGGTCAAGCGCGGCGACTACATACTGGTCGAGCCCATTGATGAGGGCGACAAAGTCAAGGCGGAAATATGCAAGATACTAACTCCCGAGCACATCAAGGAATACACAAAGGCGGGCATTTGGCCGCAACGCTTCGCTAAGAAGACAGCGCAGGCGTCGCAAAGTCGAGATGATGCTGCCGAGCATTCTGATTCCGATACGGATGATTCCCTGCCGCCCAACACAAATCGACCTGTCAATGTACAAAATGATGAGGACGAGGTTACGGATACAGATACCGAGGAGAGCAGCGCTGAAGACTGAGATTGCAGTGCATTTGTGATTGTGCATTACAAAAGTTTAGCTATGTATATTTTTTAACGAATTGTTTTTCCTCGCCAATTGTTTTAACAGAAAATTGTGTGTGTGTGTTTACTGCATACATAAACCCAAAAAAACTACACAAGTGATGCACTTTAATTGTTTGTTGCTGCTGCGGCTGCGTCCACTGATGCAAAAGCTAAGAAAAGCCTACAAGTTTTTTTGCGCGCTGAGATCTACTTAAAATAGTGCCTAGATAAAGCAATAAGTGAGTGGGCTTGGCTTAGTAAATCCTACTCCTGTGCATCACAGATCTCGATGTTTTCCTTGTGCTCCTCCTCCTCAGTCTCGCCCAGTGGCTGCTGCTGCTGCTGTTGTGCCTGCTCCGCTGTCAATTTGCCCGCATGCAGCGCATCGTGCTTGGATTCCAGCGCCAATGTTGATGGCCTGGGTTTCGTAAAGGGAAAATTGCTCAAATCTTCAAATTGTGGCGTATGCACGGCAATCAGATCCGTTTGCGTGGAGCTGCTGTCACGCGGCTCAAAGCTAGTGTAATCGACTTCGTCGCCATCTGAGCAGTTGATGTGCTTCTTGAGCGCATCCTGTGGCAAATTGCAGACCATGGTCAGGCAATTGACAATGGTGCCAATCGAGCTCTGCAGCTGCTGCACCTGATCAGTAAGCATTGTGCAACGCTTCGCCAAATCATTTACAACAGCTGCCGAGTTCTGATCCAGGCACAATTGCCCCTGATTCGTGTTGTTGCTGCTGCTGCTGCTGCCTGCATCCTCTGCATTTGTGCCAGCGTTGCTATTGGCGCCATGCTCGCCGCCAGCCTTCGGATCCACTTGCATGGTGGACACTTTTTTCCACAGCGCATTGATGGCCTGCATCTGCAGCTGTTGGATTTTGCGCTCGTTCTGCAGCTGCGCCTTGGTCAGCAGCATGTCCTTGTTGAGTTTACTGTCGTGAGAGATAATATATAAGCATATATATATATATATATATATAAGCCTGCGGCTGCACTTACTCAATGTACTCGTGTGTGCGCTGTTTGTGTAGCTTCTCGGCAATGTCTTTGGTTTTCTTGCGCGTATGATAGCCTCGCCACATCTTTTGTATGGTCACCGCCGAGGATTCAGTTACATGCTCTATCAGCCGATCTGTGCAGTTGAGATTATTGTTGTCCAGCTGCTGTTGCTGCTGCTGCTGCTGCGCACGCTCCGCTGCCATTTTGCGTATAGTTTTTAGCTTCTCAATGTTAATCTGTTCGCCGTCGTCGTCAGTGCTGCAGCCGCCGGCATCTGTTGTGCTGACCGATGTGGCATTCATCTGGAGCTGCTGTTGCTGCTGCTGTTGCTGTATTCGTTCCGCCTTGCGTGGACTGCTCGTGGGGCTCTGCATGCGTCGCAGCTGTGGACTGCGCACGCGCGGCAAATTTAGTTTGTTATCTGGCATTGAGTACATTAAAATGTGATTCAATATTAATTTCGACACATTGGATTTAGAAAGCTTGCTTCGCTACCTTTGTTCTTGTTGCCTTTGGTTTTGTGCACCTGCGTGTTGAGCGCCGTGACTGTTGCCCGCTGGGCGACGGCGGCGGGACACACATCGGGACTCATTAGCGTCTCGGGTACAGGCACCATTTTTGAGGCAGCAGCCAAAGGTCCGCCCACAGGCGTTTGCCCAATAAACGTTTGTTCTGCATAGCAAAATGATGCACGAATTAAGGCTAAGGCTTGGGTTTAGAATGATCTCACGTACCGTTGTAGGGATTTGGCGTTATGTTGCGAGGTGTTGACTCCGTCGAGTTGTAGGTTTTGGTGGTCACGCTGCTGGACATGCCGGACATGCTGGCCAGCGAGAAGTTATCGCCATCATTTCGAATATTCTCAATCAGCGAGGTGCTCATTTGCAGCGTATGATTCGAGATGACGTTGTCGCTGCTGATGCTATTGTTGCAGCTATTACCATGGTAGCTGTTCACCATGGACTCCGGCGAGCCCTGACGACCGCTCAGACGCGAAACTGTCGGGAATACACAATAATTGAACATTAATCAAGCAACAATGGCACATTATTCCAGAGCTTACAGCGCGGCGACTGAATGCGGCTCGTCGGTTTCTTGCGATGCGAGGACGGCGATGTGCTGGCCGAACTGTTGGCATTGTCCATGATTTCCTCCTGCAGCTGCCGCTGATGGTGCTGCGCCTTGCTTAGTATCAGTCGCAGCTTGCGATCGTTTTCGTTCTCCAATGCCTTGCCCACCAGCGGACAGATGGGGCTTAAGTATTTGGCCAGCTCCGACTGCTCGCCAACGCGAAACTGGCGACCGCGTCCCTGGCTATAAAGCCACTCCGCCTTCAGACTCTCAATGGGATCCACCACATAGCCATCAATGAACTTGAGGCTCATGCACCAGTTCAGCACAAAGGGGCGGTAATCAAAGCCGCTGGGAAAATGAAAATCATATGAGAGCAGACCCAAACAAGGTGCAACTCGTACTCACTCCCTGCTGTTTGGTCCCAGCGTCATGTTCACACAGGGATTCTCCGACAGAGTAATGCTTTGCAAGTTGCACAGATGCGACAGCGTGCAAATCTCATTAAGATCGTTAATATTGTTCTTGGCCAGCGTTAATGTCTCCAGGGACACCGGCAAATATTTGTCGCACTGGCGCAGATGGGTCAATCGGTTGCCATGCAAATTGAGTTCACGCAGGGAGCGTAAATAGGATACATCCGAGATGCTGCCTATGCGATTGTCCGCCAGGTTGAGGCACTCCAGATTCACATTCGTATTGAGATGCTCAATGGTCTTAATGTTATTGCCCTCCAGATTAAGGACGCGCAGATGCACGCATTCCTTCAGGCCCTCAATGGACAGTATGCCGTTAAAGGAGAGGTTCAGCTCGCGCAGACAGTGCAGCCGGCAGACGCCAAACATGCGCAGCAATTGGTTTTTGCTCAGCGACAGCTGCAAAGGACAATTGAGGAATCAATACTCCTGCTATCAATATGGGTTTTATATAGGCACCGTCTCGATCTTCAGATATGAATCAATGTTGTCAATCTTCTGCAGCTCGTTCTCGTCCAGTATTAGCTTGCGTATATTCTGGGCATCGTCCTGTTTTGGCACCTTCTTCAGCTGCTTCTTGGACAGATTAAGCGTCTGCTTTTCGCTGCAGCTCTCGTCGCCTGCGAGGAGAGGGGGACATGAGAGGATACGTGTAAACAGTGATGAAGTCATCGTCTGTGCAATGCCACACACTGGCAGCTGTTGGGGGTGGTTCTATTGGCTGCCCACCCACCCTCAAAGTAGGCTGCGAATTGCAATGCACGCCAACCAGACGGACTCCACAGCCAACGCCGCCAGCGGCAGCAGCAGTAGCAGGTGAAATATTATTTGTCAGTTGACCAGCTTAGACACATTTGCTTACCGCTCATTTTATAAGCCTCGAATTTCTGCAGTTTTTAACAAGTGACCCAACTTAGCTAATTTGGCAGCATTCACTGGCGTCCACCATGAAAAATCAATGTTTGGGAATGCGAGCGCCCCCTTCCTTTTGAAACCAGGGCTACGAGAGGTTATACTAACATTAACATTCGACAACAATGTTATTAACAGTATGCACCCTTAAGCAAAAATTCAATTGGGCAGGCTTAACAGTTTTAACAAGTCTTTTTTGTTTGGCTAACAGATAGCTGTGCAGAGAGCAGCAATATATCGATATACGATAACAGTGCTCACTGAACTAACAATATGTATCGACGCCGTTTATTCAGTGCATTTAAGGCATTTGCCATAGCTGGTCACACTGCTCCGTTTATGTTGCGCCTCATTTGAATTTTCAAACAAATCATATTAGTGTTTTGGTGTTTATTATGTCTAGTGAGCATATGATTAAAAAATATATATATAACAATAAACTGAAAGTGATAGTTTCTGTGAGAAATAACCGATGCTTGCTGCAATTATTTGAGCTGTTTGCTTAGCCCCGGCGGCACATCGGCAGATTTGTACAAGTCGCTAACCTGGCATGGCACACGCTCAAGTTCTTCCATTAGTTTCATTTCCTCCTGTAGATTGTTCAAATACATTCGCTGTACCCGGCGCATCATAGGCGCAATCACCTTGGTACTGACCAGCTCCTCGAGACAAAGATGATTTTCGGATTTGGTTCCTGGCCCCAAGGCGCCATCCCTATGCGGATTCGCGGGCGATTTGGAGAGGTTTGGCGTCTTTTGTTGAATCAGGCTGCACTCGGACTCGCCCGACAAGCCCAGCGATGGCAAGATTAACCTAGAGTTGGTACTCAGCACCAGTCTGTCGGTCATTTCGGTCATTTTATTAATGGATTGATGCAGCAGCTCCTGCATCTCGATCTGGGAACGCACCACGGTGCGCAAATTCTCTCCACTTTTGGTGGTAATTACGGTCTTCTGCGAATTCGATGATTTCACAGAATCGGACTTGGAATCGCTGTCCGTGCCCCGTTCATTCTTATCCGCATATTTGGAATTGAAATGCGCCTTTGTCTTTCTGCAACGCTCGCGTGCCGATTCCAGCATGGAAGACGATTCCTTGACCTCGACCGGACCGAAGAGCGGATTCTCGCTATTCTCGCTGCGACCGCGACTGGACTCCTTGCCAAAATTCGAATTCCTATACAGCAAACGATCCCCGCCCGCCCCGTCTCGATCTAGCATCGAGGCCTTGTTGGTGGGCGGCAACGGGGGCAGACGTAGGGCACGTCGCGATTGCGGTGCATAGTCCACATTAAACAGGGACTTTGGCTGAATATAGGTCAGTCCCATCCGGAATGACGGAGCATCCGTCTGACGTGCCGCCTTGTTCGGACATCGATGCACCTGAATTTCAGTCTGTCGGGAGTTCTGCTGCTGCTGCTGCTGCTGCATTGGCGGACGGATTTTCCTCGAGTGCGGCTCCGGCGGCGGCTGACTGTGGCGTATGCAAGTCTGGGTTGATTTCTGAATAACTTCGTTGGGCCGAGGCTGGGTTTTCGACTTCTCTTGACGCATCTTCTTGCAGCGCATGGACCCTTTTGGGTTCGAGGTGGAAGAGTTATTGAATTGCAGTCTCTGCCTAAGCACATTCGCCTGACTGCGCATGGGCGCATTCTGTATTGGATTATGGGCATTAGAAATCGATTTTAGTTTTGAGTAATTGCAGCATTTGCCTACCGATTCGGTCTGAGTGCTGCCTCGGTTGGTGTTAAACTGTTCATCATCTAAGTATTTGCTGTAGGCATCCATTCTCGAGAGTCTCCAAATCTCTCTCCTTCAGCCCGACTCGTATTTTCTCAGAATATTTTTGAATCGAAACTTTTCAGTCTGGCAGCTCGCACGCAGTAAATTGAAATAAAGTTATCTTTATGAAAGTCAATCGAGGAGGGAGTTCAAGGCACTCCACAGTGGAAATTATTAATGCAAGAAAAAGGTCACGGTCTTTAATAGTCAAATATGTCAAACAAGTATAAACGAATGTTTGGATGTCCTTTTCATCCACATTTCTTTTTATTCAAATTAACGACCTATATATGATTCTAACGCATTCATAAAATATAATGAATCGATTAATTAGCAACTTTTCGGATTCATAATTAAAAGCTTATATTTCCGAAAAAAGTAAAGCAAAAAAAATAGTATTGAAATTTAAAACCCATTAATTTTGGATAATTAATCTTTTAAAGATTAAGTTCTCACAAATTCAATCAATCGCTTCTAAATATATTTTTTTATTTTATTTGATGTTTTTTAATATTCCTACTTTTTAGTTGAGAAAACTTCATACAAATCCTGCTTATTATTACACCCTAAGTATTATTATATAGGTAACATGTGGCCGGATATGACCGTCAAAATAAGATAAATAGGAAACTTAATTATTAACATAATTATTCAAATGAACAAGTTAGTTGTTAAATTGTTACACATGTTGCGAGCGATGAACAAGTTCCGGAACCAGTGAAATTCTGCAAAGGATTTGCAGCTTTTATCTCACTCTCTCGCTCTCTGGCTTAAAGTCTCTCTCTCTCACTCTCTCTCTCTCTCTCTCTCTCTCTCTGCTCTGGTGCTCCTTGCCTCAGCAGCTGGGTCTCAGCAGCATTTGGCTCTCAGTCTTTTGCTGTCGTTCAACGTTGTCGGTCGTCGTCGGTTTTGTGACCGCCTGATTTTAGGCTATTTCGCTGCCCGTGTTCGTTGCTGCTACTGTTGTTGTTGTTGCTGTTGCTGCTGTTGTTGCTGTTGTTGCTGTTGCTGCTGCTGCTGCTAGTTTGCGTTGCACGTCACCATCGCACGCCCCCCGTTTAAGAGCAGCCCGCCCCGCACGCTCAGCTCGCAGCAACGTGCCGCGAACGCGTGTGTCTGCCTAGCCTATCTCTGTGCCTCCGTGCCACAGCCACAGCCAGTGTCCGTGAGTGCGTCTATATGGGCACGTGTGTGTGCTTGTGGGCAAATGTTGAAAGCAGCAGCATGGCCCGAAAAGACAGCCCAAAAAACGTTGCATACTTTCGGGCGCACTGAATAATGATTTTTGTGTGCCCGCTGCGTGCGGTGTGCAAATTACAAATGAAATGAAAAATGCAAATTGCATTTTCGGCAATAATCTATCACCGAATACAAAATGTGTGAACATCTGCTGAAAAAACCCAAGGAAAGTCCAATAATTAAATGTGTTAAGTGACAAAAATATACAAATATAAATAAACCAACGAAATAAAATCATAGAGGGGAAAATATGCAGGCAGCCAAGACGAAATCGACGCTAAAATACAAATCTGACATTGGCAGGAGCACGCAGCACACACACACACACACACACACACACACACGCCAACACACACACACACACGCGCGCGCACACATACAAATGTATAACACACAAATGCAGAGGCGACAACAGCCTGCGTCCTGTGCCCAACATTTTGGCCGATGAATGAACTGACATAAAACTTGAAGAGCATAGCCAGAAAAGCCAGCACACATTCACACACACATACACAGGCGCACACACGCAAATACAATCAGAGCCACACATAGTCACACACACACACTTATACCCAACATTGAAAAGCATATAAAAAGGCCATTTTCGTAGATTTCTGCGTGCCCTTGTCAAAGTAATAGAAATCGAAATAGAAACTGCCCTGGAACGTGCCGCGCATTTGCCACGAGAAAATCAGCAGCAGCTGCAAATAAATTTCACGAAACCAAAATAAAAAATCCAAAAATAAAAGAAGGTGGGTCAAGTGCAAAAAGAATTTTTTTTTTTATTTAACTAGTTGTATACACGAAATGTGGCCGCCTACAACAAAAATCATAGCACGCTTTGCAGCGCGCTGTTGTTGTCCAACTAAGCACAAAAATAGAGCAACGATTACAGCACACACACACACACACACACTAGTTCCCACTCACATATATTTACATATGCAGCACAGCATAAATCATAATGCTTTGGACAGCTCAAATTGTAGCCAAATGTCAATATAACACTTTTAAGTGGAGCCGCTGAGCAGGAGTTGATGGCGTTGAGGGAGGGAGACGGGTGAGCGGGGAGCGCTAGCTGGCTGTTGTACATAGACCAGCCCAACGTGTTTTCTAACAAACACAAACTCACACACACACACACATACAGGAAGTGACAGGCGGCTCTGGGCTGGCGGGGCGACCAGGCGTGCTTAGGCAAACTCCTGTCTGCAGCAATTTCACTTCCTTGAAATCCATTGCCCAACAACAACTCACACTCAATTCTACTCACACACGCGCTCTCACTCTCTCTCACTCTCTCACTCTGCGCTGTGCCAGCTTACTATGCTGCTGCTGCTGGCTCTGCTGCTGCTGCCTCTGCCTCTGCTGCTGCTTGCGCTGCTGCCTCTGCTGTCAGTTCATTTGCTCGCTCGCTCTTGTTCGCTCTCTACGCAGTCGCTCATTTCGTTTTGCTCTTGGTTCGCAGCGCTCAGTTCTTGGCTCTGCCGCTCTTTCACGCTCTTCTTCTGCTTTTATTACAGCTTTTGGGCGCTTGGCTCATTTGTTTATTTTTAGTTGCTGTCATAGTAGCTACACACACACCCACCCACTTACACTAACACACCCGCACACACCGTTTGTATACCCACTTGTGTGTGCAATTAAGTTGCAGTTAGGCTTTGGCCATTATTAATACGGGCACTTGGTACATACGCTGACATCCAAAGTTATTCCAAGTTGCGCGTCGTCTAGCGCTTGGGCACAACCAAAATTAGAAATGAAAGTGGTTCAAGGTCGTCCGAGGCATATGCAGTAATCAAATAGCTAAACGAGGTTATTGCACCGCCCGCTTGGGGGTCGCACACTTGGCCTAGGCCCGGAGAAAGGCTTGTGCGGCGGCTTGGGGCGCAGAAAGTCGAGAAACTGGCACGCAGCTTAACCCGTTCGTCTCGGTCAGCCGGATTGGGCTCAATTTGGAATCCCGCAGCCACGTCGGCAGTCCTCATTTAATGCCCGTATTTATGTAGCGTAAAACAAAAGCCAAACGAAGATTTGCAACAAAAGTGAAAACGTGGCAACGGGTGACGGCGACAACGGCGACGGCTGGCTGCTCTGGGACTTTGGGGCTTGCGTGTCGCGGCGTTTGCGTCCATGACATGTCGAGGCCTCCTTTATGGAGCTCACGTGTCAGGTGAGTTCATGCCGTCCGCAGGGGGCGTCAGGAAGAAGGGGGCGGGACCAGGACCGGGGCCGGGGACAACAACTGAGGTGTTCATTTCAGTGAGACGCGCATAAACACATATAAAACAATGATATGCATAAACCACACACACACACACACAAAGCTCGCTAAATATCCCGTTAGGAGCTTACGTAAGCAGCGCCAGCTGCGCCTGAAAGCTGCCTATAATTATTTCTAAGCACTTTTTTCGGGTATTAACAAGCGTTGGCAGAAGTTGCGATGAGAGCATGCGAAGGCGCGAGCCTAATGAGTCCCTAATAGATCTGTCAGGAGCTATTCCCTTGGATACGGATACACATACGTGTTTGAGAGCCTCTTAATCACAATTATACACATTTTGCATGTAAATACTTGGGTTCCTTATGAGGGAATGAACATTTTTATTTGATACTATTCTTGAGCATCTTAACCTAGCTTAACAATAATGGGATTAACTTAACGTTAGTTTTAAATTATTCGATTTACATTTCCTTTATCCAAGTATCCGGTTTGGGAGATCGATGGGGTGGATCCTGCGAAGTCTCCGTCGCTTTCTTCTGCAAAGCCCTCTCGCCAATATATTGGGGTGGGCAGAAAGACGGGCCATGTAGCTGGTGGACTGCTGTCGTAAAAGGTCACCCACCAAGGGAACCTTTAGTTCTCTTGCTAAGGCCCGGTTGCGGATCTACCATTCGAAATTATCATTAGCAGCTTTTAAATAATGATTGAAATTGATTGATTGATTTTACATTATGAGTTATATTATGTACGAAAAAAAAATATGCCACAATCAATTTTTAAAAACATTTAACATCGACATTATATTACTTTACGCCTGGCATAACGATCCAATGTTTGTGGTCAACTACCCCTAGGAGAAGTAACTGTTGCGTTGGACGCGCATTCCCGATGTCCGCGGCGGTATAATGTGAGGGACTGTTAAATTCGCATTGGTCGTCAATGCCATTCTCAAATTCTCCCTTGGATGTTCGGCTTTGCGGCTTTGTATCGAGACTCGCGGCTCGGGCGTCCGATAAAATTCAGTGGGCCGTATACGTGGATACAGCTCGCAGTTTTGCTAACAATATATTCGATGCGTTTCCGAGGAATATAAAAAAGCTGAGGTGCGGCAAACTCACCAGTTCGAAGCTCATTTCGGGCAGGAGGAATAATAATGTGCCTCTATTATAATTTGCTGTCATAAATCTAAAAAAAGAATATATTGCTGAACTTTTTTTTTATTAATTTTTATTTTTTTTAATGTGATTTTAGGGATTTTAGAAAATGAGAGAAATAGAAGTTTAGTCCAGGAAATTCTGTATACAACTTTGAATGCTGGAAATATTTAAGGCATCGAAACTTCGGATCGAATGAGTTATGTGTCGAGGCTCACTTTATTTTTGATTACTATCATTATTGTTCCCATGTAGAGGCTATGAGAGAATTAAGACTGTAAGTCCTCACACTTTGGAGGAAGAAAGGAAAGAAATAATATAATTATCATTAAAATGCTTCAATGTCCCTAAAGAATTGTAAGGTGCTTCTAAAAAAGGAAAGGAATTTAGTTATAATGACGAGAAATTAAAAAAAATATTTTTTTTTTGGATCTAATGAGGACTTCTATTAACCTCGCCTAAGCTTCCCTCTTATGGCTGGCCGCAGTTAACCTCATTTGGTAGGGTCTCTTGCTGTGCTGCATTAATTGCCCACTGGGAATAATTATGTTTAAAGAAGGAGGAGAAACGAAAAAATCATTATGCATTATGTTTGCACAGCTGCTAAAGTTGGCAGCTGGCAGCTGCATTTGTTGGGCCCAAACGGAATGCGCTGCAAAGTATGCTGCATTTTAATTGAACGTCGCAAATGGCGCGACCCGGACTAGTCGCCGGAAACGGAAGCCAATGAAGTCAGCATAAGCGTAAGGTATCAGCATGCCAGCGACATTTGCCTGCTCCCTGGTGACCCTTGTGGCCCGCTGCTGTCGCTTCTGCATGTCTGCTAATGAAATATTCATTCGTAATCGATAATTCCGCAAAAAGGCGAACGAGCAAAGCGGCGGCATAATAAGCTGGCAGCGACAATCCGACAGCAACTGCCAGCTAAGCCGAGCCCCCGATCACCCCGTCTCCTCTGGCTGGTGACCTCTATACCATCTCCAGCGCCAGCCGCATCGAGCGACGCCATTGAGAATTTGGGGCGAGAGTCAAGTTGTCTGCAGGCCACAGGCCACAGGACACATGCCGCTTGCCGTGCGACGCTCACCGCTCGCCGTTCGCCGTTCGTCGCACCAAATAAAATTCCAATATTTCAGCTATAATTTATACGCAGTTCGGGGGGGGGGGGGGGCAAAAGACGCCGACTGGCCGCATAAATCGCGATGCTCCAAAGCATATTATGCTGCCTCATTGGACACGTGGCGCATGGGCGATAAGTTCAGGTCATCATCAGCCGCGGGGCCATAAGCAGAGTTTTAAATTAAAAACGCTTAGAACTAACATAAGTGCCAAATGTTTAAAATGTTTAGGCAATATTTACTGATCTGAGAGATAGTATAGGAGAGAGATGGGAGATGGTATTGGTTACACTGCAGGAAACTTAAAAAGTTAAACTTAAATAAATAATTTTAATAAAAGACTGAAATAAATTGAATATAAGGCACATATTTAAGTTAAACAATAGTTACGGCAACTCTATAAAATAAATTATTATCTAAGAACAGATATGATCTTTATGCTGAATATTAATTAAGAATATTTCCTAGCAGAATATTGGGTGAAGCTTCAAATTATGCCTGTGATTTTATCGAGCCATATGAATGGACTTTTTAGTGAAACTTTAAGAACTTAAAAACAATAACAAAGATTTCATAAAAACTTGTGTGCTTACATCTTATCCAAACTTATGGACTAGAAAGCTATACCAAATATTGCGTATACGACGTATTGAACAACAAAATATTCAGTTGCTTGTAACGTTTCCGCAGTTCATTTGACTGTTCATATAAAAAAGGTTGTTTTGAGAAGAAAATATAACAATTGATATAATAAGAAATATAAACAATTAAAATCGGCGCTCTTTGAAAAGCTAATCTTAATCGTTATCAATAAAAATCAAGATCCAATAAAAAATAAAACTAAAGAACATCAATATAAGCCAGTTTAACAAATATTCTATGCCTGCTCTTTGGAGCTTATCTAAAGCCATGATTTATCAGACAGAGTAATGCGCTTGGAAATCATTGCGATATTAAAACCCACACACACACACATACACACACACATGTGTGTGCGTGTGTTTACTGGCTTGGCCCCACGCCCAATTGAAACCCATTAGAAATTCTATTAAAAGTTATTTACGGTGCAACTTTCGGTCCATTGAATGCGACAAAGGCTGACGCTCGAGTAGTCCGCACTCATATGCTCGTATCCGCACACACACACACGCACATAAAGCCATATACACGTAATATGAGTGCAAAACTCAAACAAAGGCCGTGGAGCAGGTCGGGCATTGTCTATGCACGTTCATAAATAAGAAATGCAGCAACGTTGGCACCTCAACCGAACCCAAGCCCCCCCAGCTGAAGCCGAACTGAGTGACACCCCCCCCCCCCCCTGCCGGCCCTCTAATTGCGGCACCTCTCCGCCCAATTGTTGTCCAAAGCCAGTCGAAGCGAATGAAGCATTGACAATAAATTTGCATGCGAAGCACTTCTGCTAGATGGCGGCACCAGGCAGCGGCTCAGACAGGAAGCTCCAAGTCCAAGTCGGTTTATATGCAGATGAGCATAATTGATTTCAAATTGTGCAAAAAGCCTCGCTGGGGGGAAAGGGTGGCGAGTTTGGGGTTAGGTTCATTGTCTGCGGCTGAAGAGCTTAATGCCATAAGGACGATGCCTCAATAGATAGCGCACGTCTGCGTTGGACACATGATGATGATGATAATGATGATGACGATGACGACGGTGATGACGATGACGCTGACGATAATGAAAGATGTGATGAAAGCCAAGCGCACTCATTAGGCACTTGAAGCAGGCACAGCTCAGCGCAGCAGATATGCAGCGATAACGGGCACAGATAAGCAGCATGTGAGAGGGGAGGGGCTCAGACGGAGAAGCTGCGCCAGCCTCGCGCTCAAACTGGAGCAAGGACATCTGCGGTGGCAGCAACAACAGCAACAGAAGCAGCGAAAGCGACAGCGACAACAACTTCACATTCAAACAACGAGCGAGAGCACAAATGGTTACATTGCCTGTCGACTCTCGCACACACACACACACACACAGCTACATAGAGTCAATCTCACAGTAGCATGAAGACATATGTGCAGCAAGCTGGCAGCTAGCTGGCTGTGAGATGCTACCCGCAGGTTGATTGGCCAGCTGCAGCTGCCCGTTTGTTGTCCTGCTGCCAGCAGCAGCAAGTCCTTGTGCTGCAACAACAATGACAGCTACCTTCATTTGTGTCCTGATTATGACAAGTCAAGGAAATGCCGCCTGGCAGCCAGGCAGGCAGTCAGGCAGCTTTTGGCAGGGCCTGAAATGTACCAAAATTCTCCATGGAGTTCCTTTCGAGCAGGCATCGCTCGCACACACTCACATCTGGCATGCTCATAAGTGCTGCTGTGTCTGTGTTAATTGCCTGGCTGTGTGGCATAAAAAATATAAAAGCCTTTGCATACGCGCAGGCGGCAGGTCGATTGTGGGCAAGCAGAGGGCAAGCAGAGGCAGGCGGAAATCAATTTGATTTCATTTCGAGTTGGCAGCCAAACTGACAACAGCGGCAGCTCAACTCGTATCTATATCAAACAATATATGCTTTATGGGTGAGGTTGGCGTTTAAATGCTCCTGCATGGCAATTGCGAATCCTTCATGATAATAATCTGACAATTTCTATGACTCATCTACTTATAATGAAAATGCTTTAAATGTTCAACAGCTTTTTATTAATTGAAAACAGTGTTGCTTAATATCAAAAACATATTTAATAACATTTCTTTATTTATATAATATATAATTAATCTAAACGCGCTTTATCAAATAACTTTTGCATTACTTACTTAATTCTGAATAGCCCTTTGTTTTTGTTGTGACCCACATTAAATACTACTTGTGATTTCCACATAAATCTTAGTTTTGAACTTTAAAGTAAAGTGTTGGCTAAGTTTTGGTCTTTAAGCGTACTTTGACATTCAATCCGTGCGGCTTATGTAAATGGCATTTCATAGCTGGCGCACCTCTCTATCCATATAGAGTGCATAATGATTGGCATCTCTCTAGGGGTTTGTTGTTGTGGCACACACGGCGTATGAGTGACATTTCATATCAAATTACCGTTATGGTAATGCGTCTATGGGGAACTAATGAGCAACGGGGCGAGCAAGGAGGTCTGTTATCAATATATAGAGCAAAAACATAAGGGATTTGTTTTCTATTGCAGACACGGGCAACGACGTGAGCAGCTCCAGAAAGTGACATACAGAGCACGAGAGTGAGAGAGTGGGAGAGAGAGAGGGAGAGTGGAGAAGCGAAAGATATAGACACGACAAGAACGCCGTTGAAGGCATCCAATTTTGCACGACCAGGCCACGCAACGGTGATGTGGGACACATCCCGCAACGGGCAATGCAACAACCCCAACGTTATATACCGTCTGTATCTGATCTATATGGCACGGACGAGATAGAACTGCTGCTGGACGAGATACGTGAGCTGGAGCTGGAGCCGGTCTGCTGTCAGCTGGACGATGAGCAGGACTTTGAAATAGCTGGCAGCAGGGCCGGCGAGCTCTCGCTCTCACTCGAATCGCCGTTGGGTACGTGCACCTCCTGGGACTCGCACGCCAACTACAAACAGCAACAACACACGCCGCTGCCATGGGGCGTTGCCCTACACTGTGATCCGCAACACTTGAAAACGCCTACAGGGATTGTGCGCATACTACTGGTGGTAAGCTACAACCCATCCGGTTGAATCAACGCAGTTAATGATGTGATTGCTTTTTATTATCCCCGTAGTTATCCTCCGCCGTCTGTCTGGCCTGCGAATGCTCCGCGGGCACTGTACAGGTTGGCCTCTTTCTACTGCCACTCATCGGACGCCTGAGGCTGATGGTCTTTTGTGCGCTCTTCTCGCTACTCATCACATGCCTAATGCTCTTTCTCGATATATCGCATATAGCGCTCATGTTCCCATTCAATTGGACGAAAGTGGTACGTGTGGGCAATTAAGCTGTACCGATCTATAAAAAAGACTTTAAATTCTTTTGATGATTTATATTTTGCATAAATTCGTATTTTGTTTCCCTGGTTGGAGAACATATAAAAAATATACTATTAATTAATGTTAATATTATTGCGATAATCAAATTTTTGTTTACGATTAGTTTACTTTTCCCTATTTTCATCTATAATATGTTGAAATTTAATTTTATATTATTAAAATAATAAATATATAATTGTTAAATATTTCCTTCAGAATACGTGGATGTACCTGAGTATTGGTTTAATATTTATTTTGAGCTCCACGCTGCTCGTCCACATGGTGCTGTATGCGACCGAGTATACATGGGTATCCAAGCACTCCAAGGATACGTTACTAGCCACAGGCGTAAGCATAGATCAACCTGAAGTCCCGTTAAGTTACCGAACTAATCATTAACTTCTTTTGCTTAGCTAATTGGCTTTATTTGCGCATTGGAGGCGCTGGTGCTGTCGGGCATTGCCTCCTGGCCCTGGTCTCAGTATCGCCAGGTGCCCGACGATGCCAGCGAACTGTTCATTGAGGATCGCGAAATGACGCCCATGAGTCCCATAAATAGCACTGATCTACAGTTACAGCCAGAGACTGGGCATAGCCTGGCGCCGTATCAGCACAGCAGCCAAATTAATGGCAATGCAACGGCGGTCGATACATACAACCAACAACAACAATCGTCCTATAATCAAAAGCCTTATATACCTGGTAAGCTGTTTGCTCAACATTCAAACAAATATAAAACTCAGCGAAGTCGAAGAACAAATAGAACAAGTAAGAGGCACTAGGCGGAAGTTCCCGACTAGGGGATACCCTGAACACTCTACTACACTCTACTAACATCAAATGCAACTCGCGCAAACCGCTCGTTTGCTTTAGTAGTAATACAAATAAATTTTAAAAAAATAGTTCCCTTGAGCTCGATACAGACCAGGTCACTTGCCGCCGCCTCTACCCAACAGCCAAACCAAAACTTATGATTACTGACAAAAAAAAAACAATTTAAATAGCAGCACATGCATTCAGCACTGACAACAACACAATCGCCAATTGATAGTAGGGATCCGTACGAATTCAAAAAGGTATAACATTTCAAAATCTGACAGTATTTACCCGAGATATTCACAAAAAAATCATTAAAAAAGTTTTGATTTTCGAACCGACCCCGAATTTGAGAAAAAACGTGATGTAACACTTCTTAATTTGTATACATAATTTCTTGCAATTTGCGATAGCTGACGCAAACACGTGTACAAAAATTCCACGCTTCCTTTAATAACTTCTGTGTTTCTTAACCGATCTTGATGAAATTGGCAGCAGTAGATCGGTTTGTTCTATAGTAAGTATATTCGTATATTCTCAAAGAGACAATTATATTAAAACTGTGGCTTAAATTGGTGACGGAAAAGTTTCGATGGCAATATGATATAAGATACTTTATACATATGCATGACAAATTGGGCGACTCCAGTTTTAAAACCTTAGAGATTTGCTCAAAAGACTGCTGATCAAGAATATATATATATATTTTATGGGGTCGGAGATGCTTCCTTCTGTCTGTTACATATATTTGCACAAAAACATTATACCCTTTTAACCAATTTTTAATGGGTTTAGGATATAAATATATATATAAATAAAATAAATATAAATTATAGCTATGTATGGGTAGCGGGAAGGTGGCAATAGCTATAAAATGAAAAATACTTGATATATATATACTATTTCAGAAGCCACATGTCAAGTTTGGGGACTCTAACTTTAAAAACCTAGGGATTTGCTCAAAAAAGGATATCGATGTCGATTTTTATCGATTGCGTGGAAACGGACCGACATGGATAGATCGACTTGGCTGTTGATGCTGATCAAGAATATATATACTTTATGGGGTCGGAAATGCTTTTTTCTGCCTGTTACTTACAGTTGCACAACAACAATTTACTCTTTTTACTCATTTTTAATTGGTTCAGGAAATAAAAAGTGGGTGTTTTTTAAATAGGTGGATTTGTGATTCCATTCTCGAAACTTTGGTTTTGTGAGAAGTTTAGTTAACTGATAACTGATGACGGCATAGTTTTTTACGAAACGCCTATACCACCCAACCACATCTAAGAAGCAACGTAATTGCTTGACTGTTTTCGGAACAGGAAACTCACTGATTGCCTTCATTTTCTTAGGATCCGCTTTGGGTTGGCCTTTTCCGATGACAACCCCGAGAAATGTATTCTCTGTCATGCAAAACTTAGATTTTTTAAAGTTTGCTTCACTTAAATGTAATGCAATCTCCTGAAGCAAAACAAGGTAGGAATTAAAATCGTCTGAGGGCACTTATAAGTCGTCCCAGTAAACGAAGACTTCTGTACACAAATGTGCAGGAATACCTTCATGTATAGGGCGACGAAGTGTTTTGGGCGTATTGGGAAGCTTCTGTTCCTATTTAGAAGGAAGATTAAATTTGGGGAGCTGCTTTGGTTCTACTGGCGCTCCAACCTGTAATTCTGATATCTCTGCTTGTTAAGTTATTTTTCCCAACAAGCCGAATTCCCGCCAAAAATTAATACGTAGCTAAATATCCTGTTTAAGTTCTGGGATAATAAATAACTCGAGACTTTTAATTAACTGTCGGTAAGTGATTTGCGTGTGTAGCTTAGCAACAATTCTGTTAGCGGTGCCATTTGCTATGCATTAGCAATTGCTGAACTGCTTATCCTCCTCTAAAAGTAGCTCCTGAATCCAAAAGCCCTATATAATCATATCCTTCGATTTTACCAGAAGTGTACAGTCGTTCATCTGAACTTATAAAAGTAGATTAAATCATATTCCTACGAATTTCACGTACTAATTTCCAAAACATTTGTAACTGTTTTTCTAAAACGCTTGGGCTTAGTTACTAACTTAAGAGAATCTAAATCTACAGAAATTCACTTACGTGTTGAACTATAATTGTGTAGCCTGATAAAAAAAAATAAATGCTCGCTCTTAGCTATTAACTCATCCCTAGCTTGACATTGTTGAGAAAAAGAGGAAAGAGGCACTTTTTGAGCAGAGTTGATAAAAGACGGGATGTATTTGAATGCGCTCTGGTACTAGGTTGTGAAAATAACAGAGATACAGATAAAAATAAAAGACTATTACAATCTCAGAAGTGGGATATAAGCCTGGCATATAAACATTAAGTATGTGACAGTGGCTACTTTCAAAAAATGGCTGGCAGTTTTGGGTGCCTCCACAACAGGGTCCAACGCTGAGCGTCTGCATTGGCACGTACTATGTAAGTTCATTACAAATTTTTTTCAAATCATTGAAACCTGAATTGAAATCAAACTGCTGAATACAGCAAAAGTGTACTGTGAATATATCAAGCCATTCTAAATAAAACAAAACCACAAATAAATATTTACATATTTGCTTCATTCTTAAGCGGTCCATGTAATGCATTTCGCGGCAACATAAAAATTTCGTTGTAAAATAATAGCGCATAAGAGCTGGTTAGAAGCGATTAAAAATATTAAACCAGAGTGGTATCCAGAGGAAAGCGACGATCAAGTGAACATAGAAGTTAGTGATAGCCACACACCAAGCGAAATGAATGTAAATCAACTACAAGAGCTAGTGCAGAAGGCTGTCAGCCAAGCATTTGCGCAGCAGGAACAGAGATTCCAGGCACAGTTTAGTGAGATGAGGGAAAGAGTTAGCAATTTGTGCATTCAAGCGCCACAAGTAGAAATGGAGACAATCAGCCGTAGACGCGTACGAGCTGTTCAAACGATTTAATGGCAGCTGCATGCATTACCAAGCGGTAACGATCATCAGAAATAAAATCAGGGGTGCAGCTAGGGCACTGCTAGTGTCTCACAATATAATCCTTAATTTCGACGCAATCATAGCTAGGCTAGATTCCTCATATGCAGATAAAACTTCGTTAAGCGTTTTGAAATGGTTAATGTCACATTAGGCGGAGCAGGCTACATTGCTCAACTGTGAAGTCAGAGCAGATGTACTCCACGCCTTTATTTTTGGACTGAGAAAGTCCCTTAAGGCTATTGTTCTTCCGGCAGAGCACTAGCCAGAGTAGCAGAATCGAGCATGGTTTCGGCATCCTACGCCAAAGCCATTTCAGAGAGAGAACAGGCGAGGGAAGATAATAGAAATCGACCGCACGCGAAACAAGGTAAGAACAATAGAGATGATCGTGGCGGTAAGAGAAACCCTCATTTCAAAAGGCAGCAGGGCAATAACAGCCACCAAGATAAAAACAAAAAAGAAACCCAAGGGCAAGCCATAAAAGCCTGTCGAAAGCCCTTTCACCGTAAGCTCAATACACGGTTCGAGAAAAGTAACCAGTAAGTGTCTTATAAAATTTTTTGTCCAATTCTCCCTATTCTTCGTGCTAGACACACTCAACTCATTTGATGCTATTATAGGATTCGACTTGTTAACACAAGCATAAGTAGCGTTGAACTTACGTTACAACACTATTAATTACAAAAACAAATCGGAGCAGTTGCAGTATCTTTACTGTGACAGTGTAAACTTCACAGATGTGGATGACATAATAGTGCCTACATCCGTCAAAAAGGAATTCAGAAGCGTGATTTTGAAAAGAATAAAAGTGTTTTCCACCTCTAACGAGAAGGTGCATTCAATACCTCAGTCATTGCTACAATCCGCCCTGTAGACAACGAGCCAATCTACACTAAATTTTAACCTTACCCAATGGAAGTTTCAGAAATCAAGCAGTTACTTAAAGACGGCATTAAGCATTAGACCATCTAAGTCCCCATACAACAACCCAGCATGGGTTGCTGACAAAAAATGCCTTGACAGCAAGGGCAGCACAAAAAAAAAACGATTAGTGATCGACTTTTGGAAGCTAAACGATCGAACTAAAGGCGATCGATACCCAATGCCGAATTTTCCAATGATCCTAGCGAATCTAGGAAAATCAAAATTTTTTACGACTCTAGATTTGAAATCAAGGTATCACCAAATTTATATTGAGGAACAAGACCGTCAGAAAACTTTATTCGTAGTAAACGGCGGGAAATATGAGTTTTGGCGTCTGCCTTTTGGCTTGAAAAACGTAGGAAGCAAAGAGCCATCGATGACATCCTGAGGGAAAACACAGGAAAAATATGTTACGTTTACGTGGATGAGGTAATAATCTTTTCTAAAAACGAAATTGACCATGTGCAACATATTGACACAATCTTTAAATGCTTGGCCGATGACAACATGAGAGTAGCACAAGAGAAAACAAAGTTCTTTAAAGAGAGCGTCGAATTCTTAGGCTTTTTGGTGACCCAAAACGGGGCAAGGACTGACCCTGAAAAGAGTATACTGACATATAAATATGTCCAAAAAGGTCACGATTGAATTTGACGAAACTCAACGTAATGTCTTCGAAAGACTGAGGAATATCCTGGCATCAGAAGTTGTCATACTTATGCTCCCAGACTTCAAGCAGCCCTAGGTAAACTTCAAAATTACCTCTATGGGAAATAAATATTTTCACTTACCCCCTTATTTTTGCTCAGATAGAACACGAATGCAAAAATAAAACAATGGAAGGCATTCATTGATGAACAAACCGGGCAAAGAAAATTACGTGGCGGATGCCTTTTCCCGTCAAAATGTAAACGCCTTACAAAACGATATACAGTCAGACGCTGCAACGATTCATAGCTAAATGTCATTAAACTGTTTCAAAAATCAAATTGTTCTTGAAGAAGCGAAATTCCCATTGAAACGAGTTCTCATACACAAAAATACCCTATTCGAAACAGTT